GGTCCTATTAATTAAAAAGAGCAGGGCTACATATTAGAATTTTTTTGATTTAACCATTCTATACAAAAATGTACTGCTATGTTTAACCCTGCCTTAGTGAAATTAAGTGTAAGAGGTTGTAAATGCACACCTAACCTTGACAAACTGCAAATGCATAAGTGTATTTTACGCCATTTGAGCTTAATACATAATCAGCACCAATAAAAGCTCCAGCCTTAATAGCAGCTCTTTATTATGTCATGCACACCAACATCCGATCATCCCATTATCTAAGCAAGGCCAAGATTATAGCACCCATAAAAGAAAGGATAAAAGAATGTCTCAGTCCTGAAATAATGAAAGGAAAGAGGCTGGAATTGCAAACAAAGTGCGTGATTGAGGTTACAAAAAGTCAAAGAAAGTGGGGCAGAAATGTAAGTGAGGACTAGATTTCAGCTCATCCATTAAATGCGAAGGATGAATTAGGCCACTAGAGCAATGAGTCAGCCCAGAGTTATGCAATGTGAGCGCGCTCAGGGTATTGCCACACTCTTTGCGTAAGAGGGAAAGAGCGGCTATGGAGAAAGAGAGAGAGAGGTTGTTTTGCATGCACGCATCTGCGTATGTGAGAACATGACTGACATATGTTCTAGGGAAAATGTGCATGGATTGAACAGCTGCCTTCAGTGTGAGGCCGAGGACCATAAGGTTTGTAGGCAGCTTGTGTTACTTTGCATATTATTGTTTAAATGTGAAAGGCAACAAAATATGTTCCAACTGCTCTAATGAAAGCACTTCATTAAAAAGGCATTATTCTACAATCATAAATCAATACTTCCAGAATGTGTGAAGCATTGTGCACTCACAGTTTCTGCATCAATATTTCACTTACAAGGACACTTCATATTAATAGAGCAGCACTTGAGAATACAACTCATTCTAAGAAGTGATGACCAAATGAATATCCATTTTTTCCTACGTTATAACGTTTTCTACAAAACCAATCATCACAGTCAAATCTCATGGCTGTGTCAACCTCCTGCTGTAGAAACAAATTTAAATGACACTCTGATGTTCAGTAGAGCAGCCCCCCTCGGCCCGCATTTTAAAGATAACTAGAGGAGCTATAACTGGAACTAGGGGGGTCTCGGGCCCTCTAGCTCCCCGTAATTCCCCTAACACCTATTTTAATCTGTCTGCGGTCACTTTTACCCTTGAAACTAGACAGCATTAGTCTCATACAGTAGAAGTTCAGTAGTGCCACAAGCACATTAACCCCATTATCCATTAGATAAGCATCTGTCTCCTCCTTCTGTCCAATTAACCTGCAGCCAGCAACCTGTCAGATCCCCTCGTATGGCCCAGCACAACACTAGTCCCTTATACAGCTCAGTCTTGACCTACATACTTGCAGACATGCACATGCTAACTGAAAAACGCTCTAATCTTCAAGACATGTAAGCTTCTTTAGAGCAGAAGTTGTGATATAGTACACTTTCAGCCATAACTGAATTAACGAGGAAGTAAGAAATTTAACGTATTCTCAACATAAATGGAATGAAAACAAAAATCTGAGCAAACATGAAATGAGAACTAAGCTAAATGTGTCCAAATGAGTTGCTGACATGAAATTGACGTTTTTATGACCTAAAATTAATTGAAAGCTGTGATGTACAATATATTGGTACCACGTTATACCAGTAATCTGCCAATTTTAAGATGTTTTATCACTATTTGCCACTTGCCAGTGTTGGATATTTGATTGTACATGCTCATTTCCCCTAATTTAAAATTTTAGATGACCTCTGCCATCATCCAGTGCTCACTTAAATGTAAACTAACCACTACCCATTTAACAATTTTAAATGTAAACTTTAGCAAATAAACATCCCTATTTTCATACTATACATTGTAATGTTGTATAGCTTAAATTCACTTGTAGCATTTAAAACGAATGATTTTAGGTTTTAAGTGTTCTATTTTTAATTTATTTACATGAAATAGTATTGAATTTTAATATCAGATATTTATCGGTTATCAGCCATTACATGAAAATAAATAATGGGCTAAAATTGACTAGGTGCATGCCCAACATTTAAAAAAAATATATATAATAAAAAAAAAGATATTAGAGTAAATTTATATAAATAAATAAATAAAAAATGTAATTGTGACTTTATATTTTACAATTAAGACTTTTGTGCTCAAAATTGGAGTTTACATCTAACAATTAGTAAAGTAAGAATCGTGAAAAAGAATGTCAGAATTGTAAGATATAAACTCGAAACTGTAAAAAATTAAGTTCATATATTTCCATAAGTTTGTCAACTACCCAAATATTAGGCTACTGAGCAAACGGAACGTTCTCGGAACTTGTTTATGTTCTGGCAAGGTTCTCTCAAAGTTATGAACAAATGTTTTTTCACTAACATTAATTAATGTTTGTTCAAAGTTACCTGGTTTATAATAATATTGTCAAAACGTTAGCACAAAAATGTTATTTATACATCATCCATGCAACATTTCTGTCGATTGTTTGTCTAACACTTTTTAAAAGCAACTATTTGTTTCAGAATGTTCAGAGAACATTTAAAAGTAGCATTGTCGTAATGTTTACAAATTAATCGAATGGAATTTTTCCTCAATATTTGCATAAACAATTAAATTAATTAAAAAACTGGACATTTCGAACATTTAGAAATAATGTTTTTGAAACTTAATTGGAATGTTAGTAAAATGTTCCTAGAACATTTTTGTTAGCTGGGTACAAACTGTGGAAATACAACAAGTTAACAAATAAATGTAATGTAAAATCAATTCATTTAAATATTCACATGGCTTTCAAATTTACTGCCAGTTAAATGGTCTATATTTTTGTAAACCATCTCTCAGAGACCATCTTGTTCCATACTGTACTATCCACACTCAGACCAGGCCAAATAAGGCATTTCTTTAAGGGCAGCTGTGCTGTCTCACAAGTGACTCAGGGAATCATGATAATGGGTAACAGAGCTTCATATCTATAGCCAAACAAACCCACTAAACACACCCCAGGACCTGGAGTGACCAGCAGCTGTTGGGAGGAAGCTCTCTGAATCACAGGAACAACAAAAGAAGTCCGTTTACAACAGCACTCTTTCACCCATGCCCACATCTTCTTTTAATCTTCTCCAGCGCTTCCCGCCCACAGCCTGGACTGTCCTGCTCTTTTTGCTCTAATCCAAACACCTGGGAGGTGCGAACATGTGACTGAGGGCTCACATGAGGCCAGACGCTCTGCGTGAGGCTGAGTCAGGCGAGGAATAGACTGTAAAACCAAAGGTAACAGAAGTCAACACACAATTACACGCTCGCTTAGACCAACGAGGCTCTTAAACAGACTGGAACTGTAACCTAACCGCACTTGACCGTGTGGCGAGTGCTTTCCAACATTGCGGTGTTTATTTTTATACGGACATCATCATGTATGACAACAGCATATGAGCAAATTGAAAATATGAGTCGAACTGACTCATAACGCAAACCATGCAACTTTCATAAAAGTTTAGAATCTCATGCACCTTCCTTTGCACTTTGTAAGACGTCTTTATCTTCCAGTTGCAATTTGTTTCAAACGGCTTCTGGCGCTGAATTAAAATAGAACAGTTCTAAGAAGTATATAAGCAGTGTGCTTCCATTTAGTTGCTGTTTCGTGTCCAGGCGAGACACCGGAGAGATGGGGAGAAATATCACGTGAAGAAGCAACGCCTGTAGAGGAGACATCATGTGCTGGAGATGGATATGGTTGGATCTCTTAAACATAAAAAACCGACATGTGAAAATTATATTATGATTCAACTGTTCCAGCTTAATGGATCCCATTCAAATACATTTCATGTGTATCTTTGCATTTGGATTAGTTAACTCGTGTGTAAAAAAAACGCGAACCAAGCACCATATTCATCCTATCAGATCAATCACATGATCTTTTGAGACAAAGTCACAAGTGTTTTTTCGCATTGAGGAATTTAATATATATATATATATATATATATATATATAAAACCAAATAAATATATATAAAACTAAAAAGAAGAAAAAGATGCAGATAAACTAGTAAACAACCTTGGTTTATGTTTATAAATATGAAATCATCCATCTGAATGAGATTTGATAGCTACAGCTAATGCTAATGACTTCACAAGACTTGGAATATTGTGTACAAGTTAGGGATGGAACGATTACCGGTTTCACGATAAATCACGGGATTTTTATGGTCTTTGGTCACCATTCGCTTTCTTTGTACGGAAAAGAGCATCATGAACATCTTGCTTAATATCTCTTTTTTGTGTTCCATGAACCATTTTGTGCTTTTTTGTATAATAAAAACCAAAAAAATCATTAAGAAGTATAAAAGTGAGTGTGGATCCTGCTGTTTCACTTGTGCTCCATGGAAGAAATATGTCATATATTGATGACTTAAAAAAAAAAAATAATAATAATTTTCAAGACTGATCAGAATTTTCAATCTTACATTGCCCTGTATGTCTCTCGTGGAAAATGGTGTCTTGTTTTCTCATTTTAAGTCTCATTTATTTGAAATAATTTATTTAGTTGTTTTAGGAAGTAGTCATGAGGTAACACATATATTTTGGTTTTCAGGATCCCAAAAATGAATGCCAGACCGATGATGCCAGACAATATGGAATAAATTAGTGTACTACCTTTACGCATGAAACTCTGCTACCCTCTACTGGATAACCAACTGTTTGCAATGAGACTGCATGCACATATAGAAATGAAATCCCTCAGCATAAATCGTTGTAAAATTATTAAAAACAACCGTAACGTTAATTATAAACAGTTGGAGCTGGTCCATCCTGCCCTGCGCTGCCAACAGGTAACGTTAGCACCTTAAAACGCCGACTGTGTACTGTTGCTGGACAAGAATGTTCTGAATAACGCCCAAATATTAGCCACTAAAGATTCATTTAGTTTTAAACCAGTTATTAGTACAAACAGGAGAAGTAACTTGAACCTACCTGAGCAAGTAGAAAGCCGCGCTCACCGCTGAACTCCGAACAATCATGTCTAAGTACAATAAACGGGCGGGTGCGCCATCTGGCGGTAGGCGGTAGAATATGAATGATCATGTTGGCCAAGCTTGTGTCATAACAGGTGACATTTTGTTTGTTTGACCTAACTTTATTGTTAATTTACCCCATATTTTATCGTACATTCCGATGAAATATAACTAATATGTTTAAATAAATACTTTTTAAAAAGAAAGGTTTAGGTGACTTTGCTCCTGCTCCATTTACAGGCAAAGCCACATAAGGGCCTTCTAAAATAGCCTACGCAAAGACTGCTCTGGTGCTGGCTTTGCTTCTGTGTTCATTAAAGGCACAATATGTACGTTTTTTTTAAATTAAAATATCCAAAAACCACTAATACAGTGTTATATATTTTTCTGACTTGTGTACTTACATTATCCCAAATGTTTCGAAGAATGTTTAAATCCAGAGAAATAAGCAATTTTAACTTAAATAATGCGTTTTTCGAACCACCAAGCATGAGAGCATGTTCTAGTACGCTCCCAAAACAAATTCAAGACATTGTAAAAGAGCATAATAGGACCCCTTTAAGTTACATTTCACATTTAAGTATTGTAAAGATAGCATTAGATATGTTTGAAGACCTTATTTCTCTTTGAAATTTTATGTATATCTATATATATATAAACATAATATAAAAGATAGCATCTAGAACTTCTGAAATGTAGTTTTAAAAAAGGTAACTTGTATAATTCCAATGACCATAAATATAAACCACAACTGAAGCATATTTTAAGCAATCAAAAAGTGATGTATTATTTTAAATCAAAGAATGCAAAACAGACAACTCTAAGTGCCAAAATAACTTTTTAATGACACAAAGACAGACACACATTTCAGTCAGGAATTGTGGCTTTCTGTGCAAACAGCAAAAGTGTGCTTTTAATGCTGATACAGGCCCCTTCCATTTGGCAAAAAACACTTACTGTAGCTTCCAAGACACACTACACCTGCACCATTATTTATCAGCAAAACGTTTCACGCACACCAAGCACTTACATTTCACATACTTCAGCAACTAACTTACTTTAACTTTCACAAAACACATACAAAGTCAGTGAGATTCATCTCCTGCACCCAGTGCTCTTCAGTTCTCCGAATTGCATTTGCTCAGAAAGTCACAAGTTATCCAATATGGATGAGTTACTTCATCTGACACTACTAGAAAAACAACAGAAGCTGAACATATTCAACTTGAGGAAAAAAAAGTGATAAAGAAGTGCACGCATCCTTCATTAGGACAAAGATCAGGCACAAATGCCAAACGTCTTAAAAAATATAGTTTTAGAGGAGAAACAGCTTTGAGATTACTGCACATAAATACAGCTAAAAAGAAAGAGCTGAAAAGAACAACACAGCCAAACAAAAAGAGATTAATGTGCACATATAAAAGTTAAATTAAATACTCTAAAACCGAAATGCATCAAAACATTAAAATAATGTGAACTTTATTAAAATTATATTAAAACTAAATAAAATATATCAAAATTATGTCACTTAGAAAACAACATAAATATACATTTCTATTCACTTTTTACCTATCGCTGATTATTAGCTACATAAAAGCTTGTATTTGTAGGTCATATTTAAAACAAATGTGTTCATCCAAATACAAACAAATGTTTCTCAGTAAAACTCAGGTATCACGTGTGTGACCTCTCATTTCAAAGCAAAACCTCTGAATAAACTGGCAGTAGATGTGGCCATTTATTGCAACTTCCCTAGGTCTTCATTTCAGATCCTCTGAGTCTTTCTTCCTCCAGTTTTAACTGGTTTTAAATCAGAACTGTTGTTGTGGCAGCTGTAGAAAGCTACAGTTTCCTTGCTACATTACGGGGTGAGATGATGTCATAAATTGTGACTCCAGAGCGTTTCAGAGCTCAATGATGCATCCATCAGTCTGTTTTTAAATTGATCAGAGCTTCGACATCCAGTAGTCACCAGCTCATCACAGTTGTCCATGTGGTTATATAGTCTTTGTCCACTTTTAAAACAAGTTTTCCAGTATTATACCACCATGTTGTGGGTTGTCATCACGGTGCTGTTACTTGCGGGACCTCAGAACTGCTCCAGGACTCCAGGATGATCCAGGCGCTCTGCTGAGATTTTTGTAACGCTGGCGAAGCACAAAGTCAAAGTTGGCAGTGGTGCACATGGCATAGAACACGTTGGCTTTTTCTGGGATCAGCAACTCTGATATAAAAAATTACAGTGACAGAGTGCTAAATACATTAGTTTTAAAATAGCATATGCGATACATAAGTCAAAAACTTAGACACACTGAACTTGTGTATTGCATGACCATAAAAACCTCGTGCTTACACCTAAACACCTAAAACCAGTGTTATTGTCGTTAAATAAATAAATAAAATTTTTAGTCATTTAAATAAAGCTGAATTAAAATATGTTTATA